CGAACCAGCAACCACCGTGTTTCCGGTTCGATGCTCTACCAACTGAGCTACGATGCACCGGGTCTCACTTAGCAGAGCATTGGGCAGGAAACCTGGTGTTAGCTGGTTCGAACCCGGCCACGGTCCAAATTTTCATTTCACCTTCAATCGTCATCCAGTATAAATACAGTAGTCTACCAAAACACGAATATCTCAGATAGTCAAAATGAAAATTTTAAACAGTTTGTTGTATGATGGGTAGTTTGTGTAATTGTGACTCAGACGAAGAGAAGAGAAAATGATACTTTGGGATTTATAACCTGTCATGAAACAATTATCACCACTAAACCAGTATGTAATTTTATGTTTTGGAAATGTTATGCATTAGTGTAGAGCCATCTATGAGGGTATATGCATGTACATGAATCATGATTTCTGATAGAGCTGCATTTCATTGGTCTAAGCACTTGACTTCCATCTAAGTTGGTCATGGGTTTGGAACCCACTGCACTTAGTGAGGACTAGGTAACCAGGTAGCATCAATTGCCTTCACACAATATTTGTGGCTCATTGCTTACTACAGCAGTGTGCACACGATTGTTATGGGGATTCTTGTCGCTCCACCTCATTACTTCTGTGGTTTTTCGAGGCTAAACAAAATGGTTGGGAAATCTGTTCTATTCTGGTTTTCAACTTAAAATCTATACGGATATTTACAAAGTCTTTTTATGACAGATTGTTTCCTTTCTGAATGTTTGCTTTTGAATGGAACTTTTCCTTCCATCGTTTCTTATATGTGGGATAAGATCTAAATTTCTAAAAAATTCTTTGGTAGAAGATGAATGTACGAATAATGAGGGGAGCATTGAACCCATTTCCTGCGATAAAGGTTTTTCGAATATCTAAGCTTAAAAAATCGACAGTTGTCTAGACATAGACTTCATTTATTTATTCTGTAGACACTATCATATTATCACCGATGACTGAACTCTATATTTGTCTTTTGTTGTTATGGAATGAGGCATCACCTCGTAGATCCGTTAAAAACGTCCGAAATTTGCTGACAACCATCTCAACCAATCATTACATGCCGAACATTCACGAAGAACTACATAGTTACATGTTGGTATCAGATTAGCCACCATGACTTAATCGGTTTATATATAATTACATTTTGTACACGTTCTGAACTGCTTTCGGGCTTTTTATGGCCTCAGTGCTTCGTCTTGTTTTTCAGGAACCAAGTATGTCTTGGGACTGATGTTCACAGGTTATTGTTCGAATGTCTATATGTGTATTAGCCTCCCATCTTATGATGATTTGCAAAAGAATGTCAAGTCCTTTATGTCATTGAAATTGATCACAGCTTTGTGATATTGGTAATCATATTACATATTACTGGTGCTGACTAACGTCACATAGCTTTGCTTTATTTAACCATTGTATCAATCTTTCAGTTAAACAGCTTCACATTAGTGACCATCTAATGACTGGTTTATGTACCCTGGTAGCTCAGTCATGATGATGATACCTTTTGCTGTTGTACCACAGAACGATTTTGAGTTTCAAGTGGAGTGGGGGGTATACATTTCTTTGAGGTTGTGGATAGTTGTTTCTAAAAAACGGTTAACTGACTGCAAAGTTTGAACAATGCAGGAACAAAGACATTTACAGAATAAAATGAGCTCATGGCCTTTCATCAGCTGCAAACAGCCTACAATTGAAATGAGCTATTAGTGGTAATAATGGCATAATATACTTTAAATACAGAAATAAATTGGCATGTGAAATCCAGGGTTAACAATAATGTAGTAAGTCGAGGAAACACAGAATTAATGGTTACATATCTTAGTTGAAATCTATGGCTATTTATATCGGTTGAGATGAAACATTCTGTAGCTGTGTAGTGAGAAGACAACAAACAAAAATCAGTGTAAAAGAGGGGACTGCTTAAGGGCTAATAGGTTTTGAAAAACTGGAAAACCGTAAAGTGATTAATATTCGGTAATTAACTAGTGAAGAGATGATTCAATCAAAAGAGAAAGGAAAGACTAAATACATACATATGCAAAAAATTATATACATTTACCTGGGTAAAGAATGGTTAATCACAGCCTTGTTCTCAGTACATAGGTCAGGTTGAAAATGTTTGAGATCGAGAGCTTCTGCAAACCGTTATAAACATGGTGTTCTTTGTTTGTTGATTATCCTGAGAGATTGAGGAACATCTATGTGATGTCGTGTTTCCATCAGATGCCTGGCGATTGTGCTTTTAAAGATCTTGCTACCATTCAAACACAGATTTCTCGGAATATGCTCATAAAATCGAGTAAACACCCTTCTTTCAGTCCGTCCTATATACTTGCTTCCACAAGCATAGGTGAATTAATACACGCAGTTGAAGGTGACGTGAGATGGGTATTTGTCTACTTTCGACTGTGTTATTGAGCATACTGTATCGTAAACTGAAATCGCTCTGGCAGCAGGGAAGCTCTTGCTCAGTGCAGCTTTTATTCTTCTGTCTATTCTTTCAGATGTCTCATCACCTTTGAATGCTAGGTGACGGGAAACAGGTTTCTCTTCAGCAGTTGGATGATTTGCTCCATTAATAAATTCTTTTCCATACTTCATGATGAATTTCTTCTGGTATCCATTCTCGATAACAACCTTCTCAGCAATATCGAATTCCTTTTGCTGTTTGTCTTTCAGGCATAGCGTTTTTATTCTAAGGAAGAACGTCTTGACTAAACCACGCTTATAACTGACAGGACAAAAGCTATTGTAGTGAAGGTACTGACCAATCCACGTGTCTTTTTTATGGATAGTCTCTGAATTGTACCATTACATCTCCGTCTTAGATCCAAAAAAAAATTAATCTGTCCTCATTTTCATATTCCACTGTAAAACTAATATTTGAGTGAGCTTGATTGAAGGTGTTGAACAACTTTGACGCATAATTAATGTTATCACAAACGATGAAACTATCATCGACATACCTGGAGTAACGTGTTGTTTCCTTGATCTCATTGTTCAAATTTGTCAAGGGAAACTAAATGTATGACATGACTATAAAGTATTAAAAATAGAGTACTCTTTATATACTAATAAAGTATGTAAAAATGTACAATCTCTGGTTAGATAAACGCCTTTTGAAGAGTAGTTCTTTACAGGGTTATCATAGTACGGTTTTTTATTTGTTTAATCAAACTGTCTTGACTTAAAGAGCTTATTTTCATTCTTTTTTCTATTACCTATTGTACTAATTTTTATGATTTTGTATGTTAGTCCGGTCATTCATGTCATTGATAGCATCTTGCCTGTTTTTATATTCCAACTGTTTAATCTTTTCCGCAAGAAAAATAACCATTTATTCATTGAATCATTTCTACTTTGTAATCTAGAGTATACAGCGGTTTCTTATATTTACTTTTACATAATTTTAAGTTTTTCATTTCCTTTAAATAACTTTGTCTTTATGGATCTAGTAAAATAGTAGATAATATACTTCACTATCATAATTAACTTGATTGTGTATACGAGAGGAATCCAGCACACGACTTTCATCCTATTTGGGATTCGTCAGCTCGACAAACCTGCATCTTAATGAATAGTGTTTTTCCCACTGAAATTCGAAACTTATCAAATCATACACCACTGCTAGCCACAACCAAGCAAATTATAATGATAAATATTAAGGCATCTGCATAGGAGTCCATATGTCAACAAAGGTTGACCAGTTCGATCCAGTTTAACATTAGGGAATTAAAAGCATATCAAGAAATAGTAAAATGCTTAATTTCCTAACTTTTTTAATCTTGCGTTTATATCTGCATTTGTTGTTTTTACGCTTTATTCATTCACATATAATAAATAATAGTTTTATCACAATTAACAAAATTCTGATAATTTACTTTGTTCATAAGCTTATTTAAATAAAGGTTAATAGTTCTACTGGCCATTGTGTTTGCATTTAATAGTGGTTAGAAGTGAATAAGTGTACAAGTCGATGGATTCACCATCAATTTAGCTATTCTAATAACGTTCAAAATGAAAGGAATATATTTAACCGAAGTAGATTTATACTAGAAAAATGCTTGGAACGGCCAAACTAAAACATAATATCAATGCATGAAGTCCTTGACTTGTTGATCTGAGCTATGTAAAGCGATACAGACTAGCCGTTTGGGATCTGTGGGACAAAAAAAACCAGTGGTTGGAGACTCTAAGTAATATGCCTTTGAAATGATGTCAGTGGCGCAAATCTATACATATATTTTCTTCATCTTAGCCGCTACACTTAATCTTATCTTCTTCCTACTCCTCATACGTTTCTATTACTCCTTTCTATTTCTTTTGATTGATTTTTCTTTCTTTCTTCATCTTTCATTTCATTGTTTTGTTACTTGATTTCCTGATATGAAGTATCGCAACTTGGACCGTTACACAGAGTAGTAATATCTGGTAGTATATTGATTTTGATGATGATAATGGAGAGGAAATATATGCCTAAGAATAATATTTCAAAATAAATTTGATTGCTTTTTAACGCAATTTTTTTTTCTCACAGTCATATTTATTGAAACAATAATATGAAAAGTGTACAGTTGCTTTGCGCTCATCATAGCATTCCTCAATAATAGTTCACACTTTCGATCACTTTAAAGAAATGAACTGTCATATGTTTTAGATTGAAATACTTGAATCCTCTTATGATTTTTTTTGTGTAGTGTTGCCAAAAGTATTCACTGGGTATTATTGAATTATTTTTTTTTTTGACTTACTATAAAGAAATTACTGATCATTATTCAATTTTAACCTAGTGTTATTATTATCTTTATTTACGTGTACTTTGTAAAAACCGAAGATTCAAATTTTCACCTTCGTATATAAATAGAATTTCATATATTCAGGCAATGCTATCTTATATTCAATTCTTTTGTCTTCACTAGTCCTGTTGATTATGATCATTCCTATGGTAGCTAAGTATGATAACTATCATACTGTTTTTTTTATTTTTATAGGTTATCGCATTATGGTCAAGTCAATTCTTCTGGTTTCCAAAATAAATTATATCCATACAGTAATATGACTAGTGTAACTCGTGTTCCTGCTATATCTGGTACGGGTAGTTCAACCTCGTGTATTTCAGCCAGCTCGTCTACAAACAGACTACTTCCACCAAGTAATTATAACTTTTATTATATATATATATATATATATATATATATATATATATATATATATATATATATATATATATAGTGATTTGTGTCTTGTTAGAGTAGATTAAACCATTTTTAAAATTGAATTTACGTTTCTACTGTCTTTTTCAGTTAAATTTTTCACTACAGTTTCAATGACCGGAGAAAAAATTAAATAATTTTTTTCATAACTGCATTATTTATTAATCTGATGAGTAAAAACGGACTTTAGTGTGGAGGTGATAATGACTGTACGGTTCTTACTAATTATCGTTTCAAATCACCCTAGAATTGAAAGTTATTGATAGGAAATTGAGATTTTTGAGGTAACAACTAATATTATTTGTTTCTTAGTGTATTGTCAGTAAAACTGGTTCATCCCCCCCACACTCACATTGTATTGTGATGCTCTACAGCATATTAAAAGCTGATACTAAACTTTGTTTACATTTATTGAATTTCCTTAACCTGTTTAGAATTATAGATTTACAGATTCTAAGGAATTGTCTTGTTGTTAGACAGCCTAAAAGTTGTTCTTAGTTCTGAATGGTGATTGAAGATTAAACGAAAATTTAGGCCGTGACAGGATTCGAACCGGCGACCACAGGGTTTCTAACCCGATGCCCTACCATCTGAGGTATAAGACCTAACTGCTGACCAGATTTTTATTTCACTCACGATTGAAGTTATCATTAAAAATGTTTTTATGAGACTTTCTTTTCAGAAAAAAACCTAAAACTCTAAAGTCTGATGTAGACAAGAGTAAAGTATACCAAGGTTTCAACCTAGCCATTAGCATAATTAATAAGATTTATTTTATTTTGTATGTAAAACAATTGCTTTACAAGACTGCAGTATCAACTATGTGTAGTTACTGTACCATTATTACTTCTATTTAGTAATTGGCAGAATTGATAAGGACTTCATGTACTAGTAATAATAATAATAATAATAATTGTAATAATAGGTAGTAACTCGTATTGATTTCTGTTATTTTCATTTAAGCAGCTGAAATGGTTTTCACTATTATACATATGTGTATATAGCGTTAAGATCTTGCCTACAATTTGGTGTATGTGCGCAAATATGTTTACGCACAAATAGGCAGGGTACTAAGTATATACGCATAAACGTATCATTATTACAATTATATATATATATATATATATATATATATATATATATATATATATATATATCGTTTCATCTTCAGTCGGCTTTTTATTCACTATTACATGTTCATATTGTTGAGGCTAAATATACTCAGATTGCGTTCTCCTAACAATGAGTTTCTTCAATGATAAACTTTTCTCTTCTCTTCTATTATCACCATTATCACCAATTTTCACTTCATTGACAACACTTGAACCATATTTCACTCTTTAATATCAATCCATTCCTTAATCATTGACCTATTGTAAACGTTTCAGCTTAATTATCACCGTTTTACAATTCTTTGACAACACTTGTCTCTTATCTCACCACTTGTTATCAATTCGTTCCTTCTTATTCAGTGACCCATTTTCTATCTCTTCCACTTGAACAAATACCACCACCCCTCCACCGACTGTATATTTTGCATATTGACTGAGCAACTTTTTAGTGCAATTATCTGTCACTTTACTCAGTATAAATACGGCTCTACAGCTTGATAATGAAGTCGTTGAAAAGAAATATTTCTTCGCTGATATATGCCTTGTTCGATGATAAATGTTGAAGGATAACATCACATATCCTTACCGTCAAGACAGTGTTCATTTCATATATTTCCATCTAACCAACTGGATAGTAACATAAACATATAAACAATAAGTATAACTGATAGTCTAGTGCATGGAAACATATCGAGTGGAGTTGTGTTAATTATTGATACCACAGCTTCAAAAAAAAGGTTAAATCATTTCAACCCAAACAACTAAAGTCATAAGAAATGTGTAACATCTCAAAAAGTTTAGATTAATAATCCCTAGTTGATAGGAAAATTGAAAGGGAAGAGGAAATATATTCCAAAGACTTTCGCTATTCACCTTTACTGACAGCCACCTACTTATTCTAAAATTTCATGCATCTTTTCTGAATTATAACCAGCTGAATCAATTCATTCACTGTTTCAATGCATGACTAGCAGATTCCTTCTCGTATTATTATTATTATTATTATTATTATTATTATTATACACTTATGAATATCAGTATTTAGTCTTTGATACAGGCGCTTATAGGAATTTACTGACATAAACCAGTTTTCATAGTCTATCTTGGAATGGTGTTTGCATGGAAACAGTAGTCATTCCCTTACGATAATTAGAATTGTTTTACTCCTCACTTTTTTTTTGTATGCGCATCACAATGACACAATTAATTAGTAATCATAATGTAACTCAGTTGTGTAGGTTGAAATAGGTGAAACTGGAGTCGAACCCGTAGCCCATTATTTAAAAGTCGAGTGCGTAAGCAAACAAACCATACTTAGTTGTATTACATATCAGTTTTTTTCTCAATATAAGAGAGACTTATGTAAACATCATGTGAGGGTAAAAAATTATTTAAAACCGTAAGTTGTGAGATATTATAAAGCTAGTTATTTACGTAACGTCTGATAATTTCGACATACTGTTAAATGACTGCTGTATGCTCTGTCTTGCCATAGACACCGATTTAATGAAAACCCGAATAGTATTAATGATCTTTCTTGTTTTTCAAAAGACAGTGGATGTTGACATTTTTGCTTGATTATGACAAATTTATTCACCATTTCATGGGAAAATAAATGAGACAGTCATTTATCAAAGATAAATGAATCAGTCATAAGCCTCTTTTACCTTGTTTGAATCTTGGATTTCATACCTGTATTGCTTCAATAATTGTATAGAGAGATATATCGAGTTATCAGCACTCAGATCACACTCAGTAGAGTGCTAATCACTTTTAAATTCTAAGGATGTGTAGTTTTCCTGGTGATTTAAGCGAAACTGAAATTAGGTTTATACTCAAGTGTTGTAACTTATCTGATAAACTCTCATATGCTTCCCTATCCTCGGGCTGATCTCGAATTTCATCAGTCTCAGCACCGATGCAAAAGGCTCATTGGCTTTCGTTAACTTACACCATTTATGGCATCGCCATGGTATCTGATTGTCTATTAAGAATCGAGTCTACTGCACTACAGATACTCTGTTTTACTTCATGGATGTGAATCATGGTTAATAAAGGTAGGGAAAACGAGAAGACGTCATTTCTTTGATCACAGTTGTCTTCATACCATAGGCGATGAGGTCATGGGGCCACCACATCAGGCATTGAGTTTTAGACAAATGAGGAATGTCAGTGGGTGAGGTTCTGACCCTTCATCGATTCAGATGGCTGGGGTATATACTATACAAGCCTAGTTACTCCTACCTCGTCACACAATGTTACCTGAAGTAGGGTCAGGCTGTAAAAAGGGTCAGGGGGGTGCAGACTAAAACACGGCATCACTGGATAAGATCTTTGACTGTCAATATGAGCCATGTAGGGAAATGCAGACTAGCCGATTGGGGTCCATGTGACAACAGAAACCAGTGGTTGGAGATTTTAGGTAATATTTCCCAGAATCAACGTCAGTGGTATGGATGTATCCTCCCTTTATTTTCATCAGAACCTTTATGCTGAATTTATTGGTTGATCATTCCTCACCCCCCTCTCTTTTATTGCTTTAGGCCGCTTCTCCTTTATTTTTCTTACCCTTCATCTTATTACTTTAGTACTTGATGTGCTAATGTGTGGTGTAGCGAATCGGACTGCTACGCCAGATGTCTGCCATGCTGACACTGGTTAACTAGTTGATCTTTTACAACGTTTTAACGAACCAGGTCAAAGTAAACTGAAAGCATATAACCATTTAAATCGTAATATTTTTTGTCATGAAATATCAACAATCCCTTTCAGTTGGTAACTGAATAGAGTAAGGATGATTTGAATACATGGGATACATCAGCTGTAAGTAATGCATGATATCTCTCTGTGACAACAGAATAAACTATAAGAACGTATTCAATGATCATGAATTTTCGCCAAAACTAATAAATAAATTTAAACGAAAATTGTTGAAATTCAATGGTATCAGTAGCTTTGTATTTAAGTTTCAGATTAATGTGAATCCAGGTTAATATTTACCTCAGATTCTATACATTTCAATATCTATATATTAACTTGTTTTGTAAGCTGAAATCGTTAAGATTTGAGGTAATTAGTGCTTTAAGATGATCATGCTTGTTTAATCAGGGTTTCCCGCCTACCCCGTGTCTATAAATTGACTTATTTTAAGGCAGTATCATACATTGACGTCAATTAGGAGACATTGAAAGCTATGAAAAACTGGATAACTCTTTCCTCCATAGTTTTAAACGCACAGATTTGAACAGAATGAAGTTAAATGCCATTAGGTCTATTGGTAAACATTTTACCATTCAAGATGAAATGAAAATTTAAACCTCGTATGGATTCGAACCAGCGACTACTGGGTTTTCGACCCAATAGTCTATCAACGAGGCATGACTGACGACCAGACTTTTATTTCATTTCAATCACCAAGGTTTTTTCCCGACCACTATGTGGAATCGTGATACTTGACCGTACTCATACTGGCTGCCCAGTCAGGATTTCTTACCCAATTCAAATGTAACTGAATTAGAGAGGGGAGGTGTGTGGCATTATATTCATTGTCATTTTGACTGTTTAAGATTTCAGCCGTGGTTTGGCAGACTTGTATTGATAAGCAGCTTTATTTCTGCCTATGTTATATCTGATCATCAATTAAGATGTTTAGTTTGTCATTCCCACTTTTATTTCTCTAAATGCTCTAAATACTATATGATGATGAATGTATAATTCTACTTCAGTATGTAATAATATAGGTAGTAGAGTGATAAGCTATAATCTGTTGACGATCGATTAACTTTCCAAACTTTGGTTTCGAAAATAATCTAGTCAATTTAAGGACATCGGTAACCGATTTATTGATCTTTCTAACTTTCTCATTTTTCTTTTTCTTATGATGATTCAGCTTATCCATTTTATATTCACTGTTTTCTCTTTCCTTAATGTCTTATTCTTTGAAGTTCGGATGTGAGCATAAGCAACGTTTTGTTTTTATTGGTCTTGGTGACTAGCATATGAATTCAGGACACGCGTTTCGTCTTATTTAGGACTCGTCAGCTGGATTTACCTGCACCCCAACGAGTGTTGTTGTTTCCACCTAGTCTGGAGCCCAGTACCTATCGCTTCAAACTCCAGAGTGTTATCCGCTAAGCCACTAGGGCACGATAGCCACGTCTTGTGCAACGGGTGTCAATTGTTGCTATGATATTTGCAATTTCCCGTTGGTATACAGGGTCGAATTGGTGTTGGCGGATGGACTCCTATACAAATGACTTGATACTGTCGGATATTCATGATTCTATACTGGTCTTAGTGACTAGTTTAGTAATTGAGGATGCTTGTTTCGTCCTACTTTGGACTCGTCAGCCGGATGTAACAGCACTCCAATGGGTGAGATCGAACAATTCGGCCCTGTATAGCAACAGGAAACTACAAGTGTCTTAACAGCGTTTTACCTTATTACTAGTTTTTTTTTCATAGTGGGTAGTTATAGTAATTTTTTTTGTTGTTTTCGCATACTTCAAAAACGTTTCTCTTCGTCTTTACTGTCATATTTCAGCTATTTGTCGTCTTTACTTAAGTAATCTAGTATATGCTGTGTTTATTGATATTTATTTGTTTAGGTGTGTGTACGTGTGTATTTTCATGTATGTATGTATGTATGCATGTATATGCGTATACGCATGGCGGATGTTTGTATGCATTTACGGTGTGTATTTCATTCATTCACTTTGTGTTCTCGATATTCAACGCATTATATATATGTAATATAAATGTTCAAATACCTATTGATTGTTGGTCATCAGGGTAGCGAAAATATACTTATCATGTCACACACACACACACACACACACACACGTGAACATAGATACAGACCACTAGTTTTGCCATACTAATACTAAACTTGATTAAGTCTCACAGCTTTGCACACTGCTAACAACAGACATAATATTAATAATAAATTTATTGTTTTTCAACATATTACATTCATCAGATCATGTTTTCTGTCATACACAATGGTGTAGTTTACTTTCAAGATTTTTTTCAAGAAATTTTTGATAAAATTTTCACTAATGAGATAATTTTCCTTACTTACTACTGCTTTGTATTTTTATGAATATTTATAAGTTAACTAGAATCTATCTTGTATTACTATTAAACAATGTAGATTATTGTTTCATTAGGTAATGCGAATTCTTATCAGGACAACTCATATGATAATTTTGCTAATGAATTATAAAATGCCTTTAACTTGAGAAGAAAATCTCCTACTCATCTATTTTCAATCACTTGATACCAAAATGCATTTCATTCCTTGTGCATAATATCACTATGGTTACTATCTGTGAATAACTTTGTTTTCTGGCTATCTATCAACAAACTGTTGGTTCAAATGGTATATGAAAACATGGAATCAGTGATGTACACCTCTTTCTCCCTCTCTGTCTCTCTCAATGTAGCGTAAACGTGTTGTCTTTTAAATATTTCAGTTCCTGTAAGGTAGAAATGTAATTGTCTTATGCTGAAATAATTCCAAACCTTCACAACTCCCTCAAAATTTAGTTGAACTGGTGCTCATTGGTAACTAGTTTCGAGAAGTATTCCCGAAGTTCCAATGACAAGTCGTGACCGGTGGAGTCAAAGCCTGATGACCATGAGGACAAATACTCAGCGATGACATTGGGTGGCGGTTGCGCTATATATCGTGAGCTAACAGAAGTTGGAAATATGGAGCATTGGATTCTGACCCAGTGGCTCAATGGTAACGCGCTGGTCGCGGAACCTGAAGGTCGCGGGTTCGATCCCTGCTGGTGGGGTCGTGGGTGCGCACTGCTGAGGAGTCCCATACTAGGACGAAACAGCTGTCCAGTGCTCCCAGGTTTCCTTTGTTCCTCCAACTGATGTCAGTCTACGATGAATAACAACTTGAAATAATTATGCTGAATAATTTTTTTTCGGTAGCGGAGATATGAGTTGACAGAATTAAGTTAATACTTTAGAAGAAAGGTAAGAAGTAGACTTTTAGTGACTTTTTGTTTCAACTCTGTATTTATTTATCCATTTAGTAAGAACTCTGAATGTCCTGATTTAAATAACATGTTTGCAATCTTCTTTTGTGTATACATCACAGATTCAGAAACCAATCCTCAGATTGCTCGATCTCACGCTGTAGTGGCTGCTGCTTATGCTGATCGTGAATTTATTTCTAATCCACAACCATTCAGTAAAACGAAAACATCTCAAGGAACTAATTCATCATCATTTTCTAGTTCATCTATTCAGTTACCGCCTATAAATGTGCATAGTGCATCAAATAGAAATGTACAACATTTCAGTATGCCTAATTCATCATTGTATCCTGGCCAACGAAACAATCTATGTCCTACTTCTCATTCTACAGGATCGTTAGAATCAACAAGTAATTTGCATAATCCGAAATCCAACTCAACTAATGTTCATCCGTCATCATCATCTTCGTATTCCTCTTCTGAGATGATGGTTAACAAACATTTCGGTTCATATTCGTCAAAGCTTGTAAGCATATGTTTATATTTCATTTGCTTATCCATACTACCTTTTGGTAAAAGAGAAGAAGGGAATCTTACAAGACATTGCAGTAAATCTATGCAGGTCAAAGGTCAAGTGTGTGAACTAATGATCTACAGCTCCATAAAAGTCTCTGTGTGTTGAAATGGTCGAGAATATTTGTAGCTCAGGTGGATGGTATTTATTGTGTTGTGTTTTTTGAGCTGGATGGTTTAATCGTCCTTTCTGTTTCGGAGTCGTCGTTCGAGCGTAATATCTCTTCTGTCTGGTCAATGACATAATTGTTTGTCGTATTTCTTACTGGGCGTCCTTATTTAATCATGATGTTCTAAGCGACGAATCTAGTGCATTGAAGAGTTCTGGTTTTGAGACATCATACTGAAGTTAGTGCTGATAATGTCGTCTACAAAGACGATGAAAGCTTCATGACTAAACAACCCAGCTCAGATAACACAATACAACCAAGGATATTCCTCGTATTGTAATGCAGTTCTTTCTGAAGAAGACGTTTTTGTACTTTTTTCAGTGATTGTTTTGATAACATGGCTACACGATCGTCTGAGAACACAATACAACAAATAGTGTGTATACGTACTTATTATAAGAACCTATTGTAAAAGTAATAAAGGTGTAAGCGTAAAATATAATTACACACAGAAAATAGACTATCAGAATTATGATGTAATGTCTCCGTGTAATCGGTATTTAATGTAGAAATAACAACCTTAAAGTTTCTGATTTTTAAACTATTCAAAGTACTTCTATCTCATTAATTTCATCTGTTTGTTACTTTTTAAATTTTACTAGCCGAATGGTGATCCACACAACCCTCCTACATCTATTACTCATGACGATCGTAATGTGGGACTCCATAAACCTGAATATCTGCCATCTGGATCTCTTCATAGATCGGACTTACCTTTTCCATTGCCTCCATTCCCATCACATATACCTCCTGAGTTTTTAAAACCTTTTTTTGCTGCAGACTCATCATCATATCCTGGTTCAAAACCAAACTTCACGTCGAATTCAACATTTATACCTTCCAATCAACATTTTCAATCTTTACAGTCAATGTATTTCCCTATGAGAGGAGTTAATCCAACCAATCGAATAGATAAGACTAATTATAGTGGTTTACTCCATCGACCAGTTCATGCAGATAAGGTAATTTTACTCCACTGTACTTAAATATTTATGACTACAACAAATCTTTTATAGTTTAACTTGTTTTACTCTGACTAGCATTGGTAGCCAAAACATTCGTTTCATTCTATTTATTACTTCTCAACTGGATATCTGATTGACTCAAAGTGTTCTCACTGAGACTCAAACTTCAGAGCTTTATTCACTAAGTTAATAAGTTCCTAGAGTCACGCCTTCTGGAGTGGGTATCAGCTATTATTTGGGGATAATTATAATTTCCTGTTTCTATATTAGACTGAATTGATCGCTCTTCTATGTGTGAATGCCCCAATGTTGCCTAAAGATTCATTGTTATAGTTTGTTTGTTGGTTGTCTGTAGTGCAGTCAACAGATCGGTTTGACAGCGAGAAATGATAAGTCTTGATAAATATCTCGTTCAATAATGAAATTTGTTATTAAAAACTGTGAAATGGATTACGGAGTAGTTGTTTCGATATCCTTATTTCCATTATTTCAAAAAAAAATTCTCCAATCTCTTACACTGTCAGTCTCTTTTGATAGTCATTCTGTCCATCATAAACATGCTTATAGTTATTTGTCTCCAAGAGAAAATGATAGTCGATTGGAAGAGGCTTGAACGGATACACTATGTGATGTGGTCGAGTTATCAACGTTTACCAGAGGAAAACAATCGACTAATCGATGATTGTACTAGATTTATGACTATCGTCAAAACTCATGATTAATGGTCGTCAAAATGATTGATGAATTGTATCATTTAGTTGAAAAAGTCTATTGCTTATTTATAAACACTGAATAATTATCGAAGTATTAAGAATAGAAATCATGCGATCTAAAATCTGCAGTTAATCAACATTATTATTATTACTATTAATTTAACCTTAGGTTCCTAGTGGAACATAGGGCTTCAGTAGCAAGCCTCCATTGCACTCTCTTCTCTGCAGTCTTTTGGACCTGGCACCACGACTGCCTACAAACTTTCATTTCTTCTCACATGCCCTCCTCCATATCACCCTTGCCTCGGACGCCCAACTCGTCGTTTCCCCTTTGTATTCCACTCGAAGGCCTGGCCTGGCGCATGATGTCCCCAGTCGGCCTTCTCAGTGTATGTCCAATCCATCTCCACTTCCTTCTGCATAGTTATTGGATGATAGTTTCTTGGTTGGTTCGTTCCCAGAGTTCCTTGTTGCTTATTCTTTCTGGTCATCTGATCCTCAGTATCGAGCGTAGGCGACAGCTGTTGATGAATGTCTGTAGTTTGTTGGAAATGCTTTCTTGACGCGCCAAGTTTCTAAACCATATAGCAGTACTGACTTGACATTAGTGATAAAAATCCGGGTCTTGTTCCACATACTGAGTACAGTAAGTCTCCACAGTGATTTCAGATTAATGAATGCCTGTCCTGCCGTCTTTCCGGTCCTGGTTGGTTTTGACATCCTCGTCCGTGCCGCCTCTTGTAGTTGAAACGATGCTGACTTGGCGGGTAGGTGAAGAGACTACTTCCGTTAGCTTTCTCCGGTTCATGGTGATTAGTGCCTCTTGTTGTTGATGCTGTTGTTGGTTGGGTATCTTCATCACCTGCATCTTCTCTACATTCACATGAAGTCCTGTTTTCGCTGCTCTGCCTCTTCTGTTAACTTGTTAGTTTTCGCCTGTAGATCTTCGAGTTTGTGCGACAAGATATTAGACATAAATCATCATCATCGGCGAAATCCAAATCTTCTTCTGGGTCTTTCCTTATGTCCAGCCAGCGTATGTCCATCTTCTCGTTCCTCATGGTTTATTGCATGGTCCAGTCGACCACAATCATAAAGATCATGGGTGGTAGTGGGTGACAACATTGTCTTACTCCTTTCTTCGCTTCCATTTCAAAGGTGTCACTGAGCTTTCCATTGTGGATCACTTAGCATGTGCCATCTTCATATAGCTGTTGAATGAGGTTGATAAAGGTATGCGGCACTAAAACTGTAGTGTCGAAGCAGCTTCCAACTTACTTCTTGGTCTATGCTATCGAAGGCCTCAAAATCGATGAAGTTAAGGTAGAGAGTTGACTGCCATTCTATACTCTGTTCTATAATGATGCGTAGTGTAGCGTTGCAATTTGATCCGCAGTTGTCTGTAGAATTCCTCCTTCTCTTGATCTGCATTATTTGTTGGCGCATAGCATTGAATGATCGTGACTTTCCTTCCCTTTGAGTTGAATCTTGCTGTCTGGATCCTAGAGGAGATTGGTTCTCACTGCATGAGTGCCTTCGATGCTCTCGGGGACATCATGATAGCCACTCCAAAACTCAGTGTGCTCGTTCGTAGTTGTCGTCTGCGTGACAATATCAGAGTAGATTATTGACTCTGCAATTGACAGTTTGGAGAGTCCACCTACAGTCCATCTGCTTTCGCAGATTCCAAGCACTTCCATAGCATACATCCTCATCTCTTTTGCAATCTGGGCAGTCTTAGTAGATTCATACATGGTGCGGAAATTCTTTAGCGGTTAGATTGGTTTTATGGGGTAAAGTTGCTAGCCCTATTCCCAACCTTCCCTCTTTACCCAGGCTTAGGACCGGCTAGTAACTAGTGAACTAGTTAACCAGGCGAGGTTAGTTAATCAACATTAGGAGTAGAAAGCCGAAAGTCAACAGGTAATGTATATAAAACTGTTTAATAGCCTTGTAAATCCCATCTGTGTACGCGTATGCAATGCAGCATGAATATTGATAATTGAAAAAAATTTGTCTGTTGTTTCCTACGGAGATAAAAAGAAAGTTTGATGATAACTGGCAAAGAATATGCTTGTATTATCCATGCTCATCTTTATAGGTGAATATTTTCCCTAAATCTCAATGGTTTCTTTTTTCTATTAGCGTACTTTGCTGCTATAAACAATATTTCAATTTTTTTCCAGTATAGTTTTTTGAGTACTTATTTTAATGATGTTCTACTTTTCGAAATTATTAATATATCGGGATTTTTTAAAATTATTTTAAACTATTTGTTTTAGCTCTGTGGTCGTTGGGCTGATGCACACATTCGAATCGCCTTATTTATTCAGCACTGTAAATCTTTACAAAGATCACAATCATCTCCAATCATCTCAAAAATATATCCAATGTCTAGACTTCCAATTCGTCCAGTGGTTAGACGTTTAAATCTTGTTACACATTCCCCTATTGCATCTACTATGAATGGACCTGTCAACTGTAATTCTAGTAGATCATCGAATACAGAACTAATTAATAGTCGATCAGTTAATGTACCAACTCCTGTCCCTCCAACTCATCTTTCACAAGTCAACAACAACAACAACAACAACAGTAATGGTTCGCCATCTGATGTATCATTTTGGGGGCATCTGTTTAATGAATTTATGAATAATTTATCTAAGGAGTTTGTCAACAATATGCCAGATTGTAAGAATACACAAATGGCAATGATACAAAATTTTTATTTGCAAATGTCACAATTCACTTCATCATTAGGCTGTTCTTCTAATCTACCAGATTTTCCTTTCTTTAATTCATCAGTAGCATCATCTTTAGCATCGAGTTCATCAATGTGTATAGGGTCAACTATTGGAAATCTTAGTTTTCCATTGTACACACAGTCTAATCTTCATTCATCTTCGTCTATTAGATCCTCATTTCCTCCTACAGTTTCTGCCCCTTTGAATTTTAATTCACAACAAGGCCTTTTAAATACTGAATTGAAACGTAGACGAACTGATTCTTCAAGCATGGATAGTAGTTCGAATATTCCTTTTTCAATGCGATTTCCTATCTTTCCGAGGTTACCCAATTTAATGCCTGGTTCATCTCATCATCATCATCATCATCAACAACAACAACAACAACATTCAACAGTTGTTTCCAGTACGTTCCCTCCTTCTTTACCTCCAGCTCATTCAAATGTGATAAACGCGACGACTAACTTACTGAATGGATTTCGGCTACCTGAAACACTGTTAAACAGACCACATCCCCTACCTAGTGGTTCTTCTACAATGAATGATACTTTTCCTTCAAGTGATAATAATTCCAGACCATCTAATGCTGCATCTCATTTGGTTCCTATAAATCCATGGTGATTTGTTGACACTTTTATCTGTTTAAGTTGTTCATTTTGTGTACCTGATGCAAATGGTCCTTTTTTTTTTCTTTCAATTTTTTCTTATGATGAAGAATTTGGATTGTGCGTTATTCGTTTACTACCTTTCTTGTTCATTGCTTAAATCCACCCACCTAGATATATACATGTAGATTCGAAAGGAAATGTTATATGATTTTAATTGCGTCTAGTTTTCTCCTGAAACATAATTCTTCCTCATTACGGTTATTGTTATCATTTTATTTAACACCGTCACCATCATCTTAATGTCTGTCGTCAGGATTTGAAGTGCATCAATAGTGTTACTGGCTAATTATAATTTATCTCTATTATTTGCTAGAGGCGCTTATTAAAAAAAACTACATGACCAACTCTTATGTTCTAGCTGATATGTCATTTTCAATTGAAGAAGACGGTGAAGAAGTAATCGAACAGTTCATGGCATGTTTTCACTCTCTTTCTCTTACCCACCTTTTTTTCTTTTCTTCAAACAACAATTTCCTTCTTTGTGTTTGTTGACTGTTGAATTTATGTGAAACGGAGAAGGCGAACTTCTAAATTGGTAAATGCACACTCTCTTATCTTTTCCAACTTTTCCCTCCTTATTTTCATTCCTCTAGTCTCTTTATATACAATGGTAATATAGACAGGTAGTGAAATGGATGAACGGACACTATCATCTCCCCTATCATCATGTTTTATTAACTGGACTTATTGCTTTCCAAGTTTTGTTGTCTTTTTCGCTAAACTGTTTATTCATTCTTTTTCGCCTGTGTTTTCATTAGGCGACATGTTTAGACTGATTATTATTATTATTATTATTATTATTATTGTTATTAGTACTGGTTATTGTTGTTATTATTATTATTTCAAAGCTGTTCATATACTTTGTAGTACTATGCATTAGTATTATCATTGTCATAATGATGTTATTGCCGGTTTCAGTCAATCATGAATTGCACAATTAATGAAATATGCACTATCCTTAGAGCAGTATAATAACATATTTTTTATGGCTGTTCATATGTTCCACCATCTGTTTTGCACAATAATGTTTATATTTATGGCTATATAAGATAATTATGGTGTAGGTAGTAGTGTTATTATTCTTTGTCTAACTTTTTGAAATTGACATTTACTGGTTACTTTTCATCTCTTATCATTTTCTTCTTTCTCACTCCCTTCCCTGTCTTATGTATGTGGGTGTCTGAATTTCACTTTATTAATGAGGCTTAAAGTGTTTTATAAATAAGTAGTAGGTCATTATTTTCAACCTATCGATTGTTGTAATTTTCCTCTTTTGTTGTGTTGAATTCTTTATTTTTTTTCACAGTAGAAAAAAATGATCTTTGTTTTGTTTGTTTTTTAAATTCAATTTTGTTTTGTATTCATTTGAACATCTAATGGTGGTGGGGATAGTAGTTACGTACATGTGTATACCGATTCAGTATACCTACATGTAAATCCATCATAAACATCATAAATTTGAACAAACAGATACTATATGTTTTAAGTTTATATGATAACTGTAAGAATTATTTCATTTTTCGTTAATAAGATGGAACTGTGAAAAAAAATTTCTCAAATCATGTTAATTTGTTGTTGTAGTTGTTGGGGCTGTTTATTCTTTGTTTACTGTATCTTTTGGTTGTAAAAAATTATTACTTGTAGTGTATCTAAGTAAGACAAGAACAATAAATATCACTGTCTCCTTATTGATTGTACATGCACGCACAGATACACACACACACATACACAGGCTCTTATAGTAGTACTGTATGCACACTGTTTATCGGTACACGTTGTTCTTTTTATTTTTTTTTTGTTTTTAGCGTTAGTGACCTTGTGTAATTTGTGCATATACCTATTATTGCTACTCCTCCTCCTCCTCCTCCTCCTACTACTACTACTACTATAACTAATAAATGCAGTTATGAGAATGAAAGGAATAATGATAATAAAAAGATATGAATTTTGATCAAATAATGCTTTCTGCTCTCTTTTATAACCCCAGTAGCCTTGTTGTCACTTAATATATTCTAGTAGTGACTACTTAGTATACATAAATGAATGCTTGTACAGTAACCTTTGTATCCAGGCCTTGATGGTAGCTTAGTTTCTCGATAAATGGAAAAGGTAGTGTATTTGTGACGTCAAAAATATATCTAAAATACAACGGTTTATATCTATTTACATTGGCCTTGGCTACTTACAGGCTCTTCTAGATTTGACGCCACCCTAGCAACTGATGGAACAAACAATTATATTTTTCTATTCTATAAAAAATTGTCTTCTCGGCCAAAATACCACAACCTGATTGGCTATTTTGGCAGTTGTTAGAGTGGCCGTTAAAGCCACTGTCAACCCATCCGATATTCCCATGTTGGTTCACTTGGTTTCTCTCTAAACGTCCGAACAAAACGATTGGTTGAAATTTAAGGCTTTTTATGTAGATCGTGGCAATCTTGTTCCGCACCATAACATTCCTACTATTAGATATACTAGATAGATTTTTCTCTGTTCTGTTGTCCTGTTTATGATGGTGGAGTAAACTGCGATTGAAAGAGGTGATAATTGTATCTGGTCATGTTTGCTTGCTAACCTGTTTGTCTCCATACTTTTTTGTTTAATAAATGTGAAACTAGTATTCATTTTTCACCTCCAGATATGTAATACTGTCTGGACAACTTGGTAACGTGTTACTGTCAGTATACAAGCGTACGGTTTTTCAAGAACAGTCAACAAAGTTTTTGTTGTTTATTATTGCCTGTCTGTTACATCTTCGCACAATAAATGCCTTTCTTTTGGAAAAAGATTTCGACACACATTAAAAATCCTCCTTCACTTCAAAATACATTACTGCATAGTGTTCATTACTGACATGCTTCTAGATGGATATCCCGAAGTTCTAATGAGAAGTTGTAACCTATAGGGTCAACCAGTCGGAAGGGGAGCGGATGCCAACTGTAGAGCTTGAATGATAGTCGTGCTATATTGCGAATTGACAGAAGTTGGAAACTGTCAATTATTGGCTGAATGGTTAACGCGTTCGCCGTGAAACTCGAAGGTCGTGAGTTCTACCCCTGGAGTCCGATACTAGGGAGAAACATATGTCCAGTGCTCCTAGGTTTTCAATGTTTCTCCAACTGTTTTCAGTCCGTGATGAAATATTTTCGGAAATTTATTGTTACCATTATATTACTGTTATGTAAAAAATTAGAAATGAAGAGACTTTAGGAAAATGGCAAGAATGCTTCTATGAATATTTAGAGCGACTGGGTTCAACTGTACATTGATTGATTACTGGATGATAACTAGTTTCATATCGGTTCTTGTATACTGATCAAGTTCTATCGATCATTTTGTAATGTAGCCACCAGACTAGGTGATTCAGCATCGCGTTTCACTTTGTTAGATTTTGGTTGGATGGAGGGCTTGCTGCCGATTACCTCGATCAAAGAGTATAACTGCCTATCGTGTAGGCAGAGCAGCGACTTCTTTTTTCAAAGTCAATTTTTCGTTTGTGGATTTATATCATTTGAAGAAACATCAGTTAGCTTTCATACGTTCTTTAAGGCTCAGGTATACAGTTTTCTAGAACGTGTTAGTGGTCTAAAAATTTATTGTTTTCCATCGTCTCAACTCTGGCGTTAAGTGATACGATTTCAAACAAAATAGGCCAAGGAATCCATGCGCATTATCAGCATAATTCAGCTGAAGGATTTCGAAGCAATGCATTATCGTATTAATTTTTATTTGTTGATATTGGACTAATCCAATGAGGGGGGGGGGGGGGGTTCAACGTTTCTGTTTATCATTAGGAAGCAACTGATGACAATGAAAAGTGGTTTACTGAATTGACTATTTGACGAAATTCCTAACCTGCCAAATACTGGAGTTCAGTACTGTGACTGATTCGTCTAAGTAGTTGATTGCCAACCAGTGGGTTGCGGGTCCGAAAACCACCCCACTTGCTGAAGTTTGGGCAGTTAGATAGTATCCTTAGCCCTTACACAATAGCTGTGGTTCATTGTCTATCGGATGAATTTGCACAAAGTTGCTACGTGATTTTTTAGTTTCGAATTAGCACCGAAGTGCTTGCAAATCCGATCTTTTCTGTATTCAGGATGTTTGAATACTTCAATTTTTATGAGAAATCTATTGAATACTTTTTCATCTCAAGTACAGCTTGACTGAATGTCGCCTGCAGGTGTATACGAATGATTTTAATGGCCACCCTAAGAACTGATGAAGTAACCAGTCTGCTTTCGAAATTTCAGGTGAGAAAGTAGTTTTTCATAGAATACAAGAGAGTAATTGGTTACCTCAGCTGTTGTTATAGTGTTCCTTAAAGTCACTCTTCATTTTTTTTATATATTTCGGCTAAGTATTTTATTGCAGTGCTTCAGTTTTTTATAGGCCAGCTACCTAGTTTGCAACCTGATTCCATTTTCACGTTTTTCTCCTATTTAGGTTTCCTTTCTAATACGATGTTTGTCCATATCCTGAATGCAAAAAGCTTTTTTTCTATAATCTGCCTGTCACTTGAATAGTATATTTCCTATTCCCAGTAGAAACTTTAGTCATTTATGTGATCTGTGTCCTGTGGTTGGAGTTGACCCCTAGGCGCTTATCATTAACGATCAGGTTATGTTAAAAATATGTCCTACTGAACTTTGGAATACACTTTTCACTCCAAGTAAGACAGCGTTCATTTTCATTATTGTGGAAAAAAATATGAACAGCTGCACGTTTTTAGTTAATTCCTGTTGGACGTGTGTAGAAATAGAGGCTTAAATGTGTAAATGAATCATAATACATAAATCTACCTTGTCATTTTTTTTTCACATTGTGGCATAAATACCAACAAACTATCGGAATTGTGATAATTTACTTGGTTGTAACTAGCAGATGAATTCAAGATGTGCATTTCATCCTACTTAGGACTCATCAGACAATTCGGTTCAGTAAAACGGCGAA